TGGAGCGGGTCGTGTGGGACTGGTGATCGCGAACCGTGCTTGTGCTTGTTTGATGCCTCTGCATACTCCATCGCAGCAGATGCTCATGCACACGAACCACCACCTCCTCCTCATCCAACCACATCACACCATCATCACCGACCATGCCTCGCCACTACCACGATTACGCGGTGTCCAGAGTCCAAGACGGCGCACGTGCGACGGCTGACAATGTCGCTGCTCCTCACATCGCTTCGCCAGCACCAGTCCTTCGCTGCCGTGAGTGCCAACTGCCATCCCCTCATACAATCACACACATACACACACGCACATACTCACGCACATACACACGTGTACACCATGTGCGTGTGCACTCGCACTTTCCTCACTGCTGTCATGCACAAATGTGCTTGTGTGTGTGTGTGTGTGCACACGTGTGTGTGTATGTACACGTGACCATATGCCAGGAGTACTTCAAGGTGGATGCGGGCGGGAACAGCCAGTGGCGCGTGGTGTCGGCGAGTTGCAGCCGCATTCTCCGCCAGTTCATCACCGCCATCAGCCCAGGCGCACTCACAGGCCTCCAGTCAGCAGCAGCCGGGTCATTATCGTCATCATCGTCGACAGCAGCAGCAGCAGCGACAAATGGCAGAAAGCCTGGACCGTACGTTGTCTGCTGCAAACACGTGCTGTGTATGTGTTTGTGTGAATGGGCGTTCGTGTGCGAGTGGAACACGTGTGAAACCGTAACGTGATCACACACTCACACCGATCGTCTCCACTCACATTTCACGCGTATGTGCGTTTACATGTGTGTTTGTATGTATGTGTACATGTGTGCGTTTACATGTGTGTTTGTATGTATGTGTACATGTGTGTATGTGTATGTGTGTGTATGTGTGTGAATGTGTCTGTGTGTGTGCGCAGGCGGGTGATGGGCGGTGGGGATGACGATGTTCCGAGCATTCCATCCACAGGACCAATGACAGCCGTACGTGAATCGTCTTGAACAAACATACACGCGCACACATTCGCTCTCTCGTCGTGTGCCATGCCTCGCTGATGCGCGTCGCATTGTCCTTCTCCTGCTGAAATATGCTCATCTCTCAACCGTGTCGTGCTCAACCACCACCACCACCACCACCACCACCACCACCACCATCTGCCTCCCATTACCACTTCACCTTCCTTCGCAGCTCCAGCGCCGCGTCACCGTCCTCGACCGCCTGCTCCTCTGGGTACGTGCACATACACACACACACACACACACACACACACACACACACACACACACACACACACACACACACACACACACACACACACACACGTTCACACACACACACACACACACACCCATGCACACACACACATATGCACACACATATGCATATGCACACACATGTACACACACACGTGCACACGCACACATGCACACACGCACACGTGGCACCTTATTTCATCCTTGTATCCTCACCACCATCATCATCATCATCGCCACCACCATCATTACGACTGTGACCATGACTGCAACAGCTGAAGCGCGTGCACCTGCACCTGCGGCTGGAGCGGGCGTGGTTTCAGCCGTACATCACCCAACAGGACGCAGCTTACCTCCTGCAAGGCCAGGTGGGGGCGGCCATTCATGCCACGAGGGCGCACAGATGGCAGTCGTCTCTTGCGGTGGTTCTCTCACCACCAAACACACGCGCACATCCATGCACGCCGCACAACCGCACGTCTACATGTACATTGACAAGCTTGCGTGATCTTATCCCATGTTACTTACCGTTTGTCAGCCACACCCCACGTCTTGCCTTCCCTTCTCTCACTTACGCCCCCTCCCGAACCCACCATGTGCCGTGTTGCTGCTTCCTCGGCACCAACAGCGGGATGGGATGTTTGTTGTCCACGCGTCAGACACGCCCGGCCATCTTGCCCTGACGGTCACGCACGATCCTGTTGGTTCACCCAAGCGTCACAGCGGCCACACCTGGACGGGATACATTGTCGCCTCAGACAACAGTACGCACCCATTCATTTCCGCTCCGTGTGGGAATGTGAGTGTGTGTGTATTTTCAGAAAATGTGTGCGACATGTATCGACTCAGCTGACACGCACTCACCTTGGATTACACACATGCATGCACATGCATAATGTGCAACACATAACACACGTACACATGTCAGAGTATGCGCTGCACGGGCGGGAAACGGTGCACAACTTCTTCAGCATCGAGGAGATGGTTGCGTACTATAGCAAGCATCCGTACAACACCAACTTTGCAGGCGAAAAGCTCAAGCTGGCGCCCTACCACGAGGTGTGTGTGTGTGTGTGTGTGTGTGTGTGTGTGTGTGTGTGTGTGTGTGTGTGTGTGTGTGTGTGTGTGTGGAACGTGGAAAGGAGAAGGGGCGGTTTGTGTGTGCGTAGATGGTCTTCTCCATGAATATTCGGCTTGTCAGCATTTGTCACCATGCCAGCCCTCGCCACCACCCTCATCACCACGCATCAGGAGCGCGTGGTGCGTGCTGCTGTGCGGGCAATTGTCACGGCCGTCACCACCACGGGCCGCAAGTTCCTCATGCGCGTGCCAGGCATTGCCCACCTGCTGCGCACCCCGAGCACAGACGCCCTGCACACCCAGCTCGTCGGCGCTGACGGCGTGTGTGCAGCGCTGGAGATTCTTGCCTGCTCCCTCGAGCATGCCGCCGCGCTCGACAAGCACACGTGTGTGTCTGTGTATGCATGTGTGCATGTGCGTGTATGCGTGTACCTGTGCGTGTGTACCTGTGCGTGCGTGCGTGTGCATGTGCGTGCGTGTGTGTGTGCGTGTGTGTGCGTGTGCGTGTGTGGTGCAAACACATCAGCTGTTGTGAACACGTGTTGTGCCTGACACCGCCTTGTTCGACGCCTTTCATCACAACCACTAACAATCTTTGTCACCATATCCGTTCACCAACATGCAACTTGCTCCCTCCCTGCTCCCACCCCCCCCCACTCCCATCACACCGACTCATACACACCAGGCGTGCGCGTGCGTCGGCGGAGCTTGGGGAGTGGGTTGCGCTGTTGTCGCGGCTGTTTCTGACGGTGACGCATCTGGAGCAGCCGCTGCGCACGGACGACAGATCCACCGTCGACCACGCAAACCACAGACGCGTCAGTTTGTGTGTGTGTGTGTGTGTGTGTGTGTGTGTGTGTGTGTGTGTGTGTGTGTGTGTGTGTGTGTGTGTGTGTGTGTGTGTGTGTGTGTGTGTGTGAGGTGTTGTACGTTCGAGTGTGTAATCATAGAATATTTTTTCAATTATTTCCTTGAATTTCACATCACCCACATA